CGATCACGATGGCGTAGGTGTATGCACTCTCTGTCTTCCTTTAAACTAGGAGATTAAAATCGCTTCATATCTTTCCTTCTACCAACTATTTCTTCCTTCCTGTATTATGTCGTTATATGCAATCTTTCTTTTACCACCACTGAATTAACTGTATCTATAAATTTTGTGTTCATCTTGTTGTGCGAATGAGGTATGGCAACGTGGACCAATACATATATGTGCCTGGTCCTATGTTGTAACTGACTGACTGACTTACATCTACTCCGCAAAACGATATTATTTAAGTCGTGAAATCAATGTGACAGACAAAAAGATGTAGCAAACAAAATAAGGAATAATATATAATACTAAATAAAAATATCCATAGGCTACTATTCTATATGCATCCAAATAGAATTTTTTTTACCTCCAAGCCTTTTAACTAGCAAACTAATAATGAACCATAAATAAAATTTTCCTATTTCCCAAATGGTTAGTTAACTAAATCTGATTTTAATAATGCGAAAATTCCCATTTACATATTTAGAAGAAAAAAATGAATAGCCTGGAAAAATCTGTATTTTTCAAATGAAAAAACAATTTTTTTTCTCTCCTTTATTTATTTATTTCCAAATTACTTGATTCCAGTTACGAGATTGAAAAGAGTTAAAGTTACTTTTTAACTAAAACTTATAGTTTCATCTTATAGACCCATTACATTACTGACATGTATTAAAGTGTGTTTTTTCCCAAATATCTTTTCCATTTTGACTATATTATGTCCTACATAAGATACAAATTAAGAATTCCTTTTATGGTCTACCAATATGGTATTTGTATAAGTTATTTTCATTTTCTTTGAAAAAAAAATCATAACATTTCACCGACAACATATCCTCACTGACTAGACTATATATGATGCGGACTTTCCCGGTATCGAGATGAGCAATTAGAAATGTTAACGATTTTAAAGAAAGAAAAATATAAAGTTTTTTTTGTTTGCTTAATTCACTGTCCCTTTTTAATGACAAAACATTCAGTCGTACAATCGAAAATTACAAATTACCTATAGAAAACTAATGGGAATAACTTTTTCTTTTTTTTAAAAAAAACTTTCCTTTTACAGTAAGGTAGTTTATCATATATTATGTAATACACATTAAAACTAACATTGGTGCTAACAATTGAACATTGAAACATTTAATGTATTTAAACACAAAATATACGTGAAAAGTAAAATGAAAGTTTGATAAGGTATTTCGAAAGACTACCGTTCATTTACCTTTAAACAATTCATAATATAATGGATTATCTGATGATAAGATATGAAAATGGAGTATTGTCTGTATATTTTCATAGTGAATGTATAAATGAATTAGATGATTGTTAATATTAAACTATTAAAAGTAGTGAGTAGTAAATAAGTATTATTATAAGTCGAATTTATACTCTTATTTACAATTTTATTAACGGATTTTGGAAATATGCTTTGGTTACCTAGTTGTTTTTTTAAAAAATAGAATAACTTATGAATTGATCAGTTTTATAATAGAGAGAGTTAATCATATTAATGGCAAAAGAATGACATTATAATAAGACTACAGAGTGTTAACAATGTTGCTACTATAATTTCGAAACAAGGATTCATAGAATCAAGAAGTAACCATACCTATTCAGTTTGTCACCTATTTTTATTTTTATGTTTAAACCCGTTAAATAACGAAAATAAAATATTCGTAAGCTATTAGTACATATCATATCTTTGTTAAGGTGTGGGGTTTTATCATCATTAATCTTAGATTTTGAGCCTGAATTGATCGGTATTATATAAAAGTATTTCTATTACTAAGTATCAATTTAGAATTCAAATAAGTCTTTCTTCTCAGTACTTACTAATTAGAGCCTACCGTTATGATAATTTTTGATTCATTCAAAGGTATCAGTCAACATAATGTATTCCTGGTTTAGTCGTCATTAGGTATTTCAAAACATAATAAACCAGTGCTTAATGGTCCTCCAGTTGATCCTCGACAGTGAAACTGCCTTCACACTGTAAACCGTTTCTTTATATTGATTTTCTTCAGCATGAAATATGACACTATTTAAAGTGCTATTAGTAAATCAAATTCGACTACGAATCATTTTTTTATAGAAGAATTCTAACTGAAATTTATGCCGGTGTTATTAGCATCACTAATTCCGTAAATTACTAAAAACCTACAAGACGACAGTTATCTAAGTTCCCGTTTAAAATACAATCTCTAGATATGAAAATTTCAGTTATCACACATGCACTAATTCAATACTACAGTGGACCAACCTAATAATGAGCGAAAAACTTTTTGACATATACAATATTCTATTGAGATCACGAACCGACCTAATTTAGACAACTGTTCGAAAGCATAAAGTATTGGACTTCTGTTTCATCCTACAGTTTCGTCCAAAGCAAAGGGCCTAATACCAAGACGAAACAAATACTTAGTACTCCTTTGTTTTCCCTGGTAGCCTAACTTAAGTTGACGCGTTAATGGAGTAAGAAATAATAACTTCCAGAAACCTCTATATTGATGCACTAAGTTAGCCGATTCATTAAAGAGTAGAGCTATATATCTTAGATTTCACTCAGCGTTACGAATTTTGTATCTATTTTAGATGATGATGAGGGCATAACTGATTATCCTAATATTGTTTACTTAAAATAGATACTATAAGAACATGTCATTTAAATATTATCATGGTTAATTTATTTGAACTTCATTTCATATCATGGCTAAATCATATTAAGTAATTATAGACTATAGCTTGGATGTGGTATACGTTATGAACTGAAATGTGATGCAAAGTCATTGAAAACTTAAGGAAGATGATGTTATTTTATTTATACGAATCGCTTTCGGAATGAACAAAAATTTCACAAATAACTACTTTATTGAAAATAAAATTTATGACATCTTGTCCACTGAACTTAGACTATCCAACTCTAATTATCAAGTCTGTAATACGAAACGTTTATGTAAGTGATTTGACGTTATTTAGCACGAAGTTATGACAGTTTAAGCAGTTCGAGACGATTGCTTGTTAAACAAAACAGGTTATTGTTGAAGCACTTCATGGCAGAGTACAAATTTTAAATTAAATAAACTAATATTAATTGCAATTTGATGAACTGATTTCCATAACTTTGTTAGATTACTGAGTTTATAGGTTAAGTAAATTTGATATTTTGTAAGTGTCAAACTCTTCAAATAATCTATACACAGAGCTTAAAAATCTTCGGTGAATGTTGTGAACAAAATCCCAGTTAAGATGTCAGGTGAAAATAGTGTGTTCTATATATGTTTTTAATCAATAAATGATTTAGGATGACTCCCTTGTTATTTAATTGTATATATCCACTAATTTTCATTTCTGATTTAGCAACTTATCAAATATTTTAATGAGAACTGAAAACGATCGTCTATTTTCAGAAAAAAATCGATAAGTCTGTTCTAATAATTTTGTGTATCATGAGATAGCTCAATACGATGTCAGAATTGCTTCTTATTCCGAGTACTTTATGTTTTTAAAAAAAACATGTTTTAGATGTAGCTTCTAGAAGAAATAATTCTAAAGATGTGACTGGGAAGTATGGATATACAGCATTTCAAATATCAAACCAATCAAATTACTAGCCAATTTTTTGAAAACAAGTAGTGGAAATATGAACAGAGGATAAGTTTTAGAAACCATTAAATCAGCTATATTGTTAAAAGAATACCCCTTAAATATTATAAAGAAATGTAAACATAGAAATAATTACAAAAAATGTGAATTACCATGAATTATTAAATGAATTTGAAAATCTGTGACGAACTATGATAGTCAAAAATATTAATGATATGAAATCTAGTGTGTGTCATGTTTACTGATCATATTATGATAAAATAGTTTGACTTATTTATTGCGCCTTATATACATATATATTTCATAACCAGGAGGTTTAACTTCTGTAGAATCTTTCAAAGGGTTTAAATAGTATTTACAAGTAATGTTGAAAAAATTCTTAAAGTGAGGTAGAAACATCAAACGAAATTATTTAGATTAATACCTTCAGAAATGTAACAAACCAGATCTAATCACCGTCTTTTCAATAAATGAGTTAAAATCTAGTAGTCTTTTTTTCTGTTGTATCGGTCAGTTTGTATAGTCGTCTTCCTGAGTAGATGATTGGTACTTGTCCTAAAAACTGATTTCAAATCAACTAAAACATCGGACTAATACCACTTGACAAATGGTCAAAAATCATTAGAAAATTGTTTTGTTCTTTTCTGAGACTCTAAATCATGAACTTCTTTTCATACTCCAGAACTAATCTAAAGTATTACACAGGGAATTAGAACTCACTGATTTGCGAATCAATAAATTTCGGTAAAGTAGCATTGAAGTTGTCCATTATAATACAGCTGTAAAAACATGATGCCTTGTCAATCAAATAAACATTAACCAAAGTACTATTAACATTATTTTAAGTCGCACATTGGTATTCTTCGTGATTTTTTCCATTTACATAACTGAACTTGTTCCAAAACATATTATCAAAACTTAGACGAAATGATTTTTGTTGACTGAAATTTAACTGATTCTCACTATATACAGAGATAACGACTATAGTTGGAAAAAAACCAATAAAGGCTATGAAATGCCAAATCATCAGGTTAAAAGCTTCAGTAAATCAGACTTTTTTGTTTAACATTCAGTCATGATTTCCATACATATAGTTTAAGCTACAAATAAAGTCAATTTAGTCTCTATCTAATTACTGATTTTGATTATGTTTGAAAATATTTGCAAGTTAGAAAACGAAACTCAAACTTTCATAAATTAATCTTATACTTTAACAATTATCTATCGGTTTACGCTCTTGGATTATACTTTAACAAATGGACATGGTGAATAATTACTCAACCGTTTTAAAATATAATTTATACTACTTTTATAAAAAGAGCATTATAAGAATCCAATTACTTTTAAAAACTTACGTTTACACTCATTAGCTGATTCAGAAGTACCTCTTGCCCACGGTCTATCTAAATAACCAGGTGAACAACGTTCACAATCAGTTCCTTCTGTATTATGTTGGCAATCACATCTAAGGGGCCCCCACTGAGATTTCGTCTGACCATTATTATCTGTTGTTATTGCTGTTCCAACTATTCGATCTCTGACACAACGGTTAGCGTGTCCATTACACTTACACCGACCACCGATAGATAAATCAGAGAAAGAAAAGTGAACAGGTGTTTTAATCTTAGGTGTTTTTGAATAGTGCATATCAGACTGATATAGATGTTGTGACATATCCAGTGTACCTGCCTCGGACAAGACAGGATTTGTGCCATAACCGCCAATACCAGTATTGCCACTAACACGAAATACGTTTGTTTGTTTTAGTAAACTTGGGTTTAAAAATAGTCCATTTGAATCATATTGAACTTCATCTCGATATTCCGGAAATCGCATAAGACTTATTCTTAAATCCGTCATAGTCATCCAGTCGATCAGTGCTGAACTCCATGGTTGCATTGATGGTCGTCCAATAGTTGTACTAAATGCGATAACATTCGATGATCGTCCTGAATTGTCATGTACATCTTGTGATTTTAAAGCAACGCATAAAACTTCTTGTATGTTTGCTAAAGAGATTTGTGCATTATGCTCATTACTTGTAGGTAAATGAAATGCTCGATAGCAATCAGTCGAGAAATATTGCCATGGTTTCCATGTTACACCAAAATCAGATGACTTATATAAAGCAATTGAATCAGGCAATTGACCACAAGGTTGTAAAGAAATATAGTAAACTTCAAAACGTTTACCTAGTGATAAAGTTAGATTTACTGTGTCACCTGGTAAAACAGATCCTGAAATCCAACATGTTTCATTATTCATTTGATGTCTATCAGTTAATAAGTGTGTTCCAAATTTCTCACCTTTACCACATGTTTCACATTTTTCATGTCCCATTACATATTTACATATTTCTTCTGACTGATCAAACTGACCACATGTTGAAGTTGCTTTAATATCAACACTTTCAGCAATATTTGTAAATGGTGGAGAACATTCAATTGCTTGACCTTTATTATAACATACAGATCTTGTCGCTTCATAAATGACTTTAATATTTGAATCTTTTTCTTCAATATAATGTTTTTGATTTAAATCAGAATGAGGATTTAAATTATTTGAATGAATACAAATATGACTGAAAGAAAATACTATCCAACTGATTATCAAAATAGGCAACATGAGTTATTCTCTTGAGTAATATCAATTTCACAAAAGAATTCAAGATATTTTGTTATGAATGTTTCAATTTTGATTTATATTAACAAATTTTTATATGAGTCCTTTCTCTATTGGTAATATTGATGATGATGATGATGATGATGATTTGATATAATGGGCATTTTAATGATGAATACAACCAATGATCCTTTTTTTCTTTCGTTTATTGCTAGTTAACTATTTCCTTTCTGTATTCAATAAAACAGTGTCACAAAAAACACAAGCAAATAAATAAACGAAATAAGCGAAATAAAATAAAACTAAGAATTTTCCCTTAACAAATAAAAATTCATTTACATAAATATAATTCTAAGAAATAAACCAACTTTATCAAGATTATTATTATTCGTCATCAAAATTTAGGTTATATGTTAACAAAACTGAAATTTGATTGGTTAATCAAAATAGAATAAAACTTTCAACACAATAGGATAAGGAGAAGGGGGGGGAAGGGGTCTTAATTATATATCTATGATAGGATAAGATTTATTTAAATAAATGGTTAAAGATGAATAAAATTAAATTTAACTCTTAAATGAAAGCACATTTTAAAAAAAATCAAAATAGTAAATGATTAAATTATAGAAATTAATTTAAAATTTATATATTGAACTTTCATTTAATTGAACAGTATTCTCATTTATATTATTTAAATATATTTAAACGAATAATTTGATTTCTACTCAACAACAACAATTTTAAAAAAATTCTGAAAAATTTATAATGTAGAAAAAAATTGTTGCTGTTGTTGAAGCCCCCTCCCCTCAATAAATGGATAATAACAAAATCTATACTGATAGAAATATATCTGATTTCATGCTGTGAATAACTTGATAATAAAATGAATTATAATTGATGAATGAAATCATCAAATTATTATACTGGATAATAAGTTTTAAGATTCATATATGGAATATATATGTATATATAAAGTTTAGATGGTGGCTGGAGGTAGTCAACAGGAAACCTTGGACCGGGATTTCGTGCTACTTGTTACTCGTCAGCAAGGTGTACCTGCAATCTTAAAGGAACTGACGCTCCCTGGGGGATTTGATCTCTTATCACCCAGCTTCACAGTCAGAGACGTTACCACTGAGCTATCCGAGCCGTGACTGACCTCCTGTAGGACTGAGATGTAATCATAATTGATTGATCACTGGGTAGTGATCAATTGCATGCGTGTCTAGTCCTTATTAGTGCAGATCGAATGCAACATGGGGGTTTTCTGTTGACTACCTCCAACCACCATCTAAATCTCAATATATAGTGCCCGCAGTGTCGAGTCACCTAGATTGTTGGCCACATTGCAAAATGATCGATAGCATTCGATGTGCACTAATAAGGACTAGACACGCATGACATTGATCACCACCCAGTGATCAATCAATTGTGATATACAAAGTTTCTCAAGAAATGTTTGATTGTTTTATTGTTTACTAATATGTGACTGATTTAGATGTAAGATCTAACTACAATTTTTTTAAAAAAATAAATCAAGTTCATGCAATTGATATGAATTCATACTATTCTGCATCAATATTTGTTCTTGCTTTATTTAAAATCAAGTTCAAGTAGTCCCAGGATCCAGATTTTAATCTGTATGAAAAAATATGGCTGATCAGAATTTCGAGGAGGAATTTTTGTTGATTTCTGAGAATTTGTAATCGATTTTAAACTTTATACTAAATCATTTTATAATGAATTGAAAGATTGAGAAGTAAAGATGAGGTTTTAACAGATTATAATAGTATAATATCATTAACTGCGGTAATTATCACTGCATTTGCCGATATCTGAAGCTGAATATTATATATACTATTAATAGAAAAGCTGAAGAATTGCCGAATTTTCTCATATTCATTAAACAAATATGAGATAATCTTTCTTGATTCTTGGATACCTAGCAAGTGTAAACCTTTGACCAGTAGATGGACAGAGTCGATCATAAAATTAAAATGAATGACATATGGTTAATATTTCCTTTAAGGAATCTATAATTTCCTTAACCGAACCCTATAGTAAAACAGACACAAACGAGTGAGAAGTCTAGGTATCAAATAAGAATGCCGTCCAAGATTTTTGATGCTTGCTCAATGAATAATGACCTACAACAACATAAAAATTCAAAGACTTCGGACATGAAACACAATGATATTTTAATATTAAAGACCACTATTCAGTGAGTTCAGTCATTTAAGTGGGTTTGTTAATCATCAAAAACTGTAAAAACGTACATTGTATTTTACATTCAAGTAGTAGTAGTAGAACAATATGTTTATCATGAATGCAGACGAAACTAAGTCAAACTATACTCTGTGATGAACAAAAACATTCGTAATTCCCATACAGTTTACGTAATATCATATGTGATCATTTCTCATTTGCCTAATTATCATACGATATATACATTTATATAGCTTCAGGCAATGAAATTTCTAATAATCAGTAGAACTTTTCGCATCTGAAATTCTGTTTTGCTTCCACAGCTTTTGTTTACTTACACAACAATTTACTTCGCCTCTGAAAAGCAAAATTGCTAGATTGTGTAATAGTTAAAGATTCATTAACTGCCTACTTAAAATGCAAAAAAGTAGTATGAAATAAATTCTTTTCAAAAGATTTCCCACAATGATTTTTGTAAATGTTTCGCATACAACTATGCTAAATTTGATTCAGACATAAAAGAGTAAGACATTACCATATTCATCATCACTCGCTATTAATTAGGTTTTCACTCACTCACTCATAGTCTCTTTCTGTCTTTCACTAGCTTCTGAATTCATTTGATGACATAAAACATTCACATTCTAGAATTATATGTATTCTCAGTTAATATTAATTAATATAAGATGATTTCCTGGAGTTTTAGTGAGAAGCCATGACCAGTGGAGTCCAATCCGTGTCGGGTAGAGACAGACGTTCACATCTGACAATCGATAAATGGTTGCGCAAGATCGACTGAAGTTAGACATTAAAACCGTTGAATGCCGGCTCAATGGTCTAAAAGTTAGATGTTCGTGCGCGAAACCGAAGGTCCTGGGTTCGAGTCTCACATACAGGATTGTGGATGTGCACTGATGATTGGTCCCATTCTGGAATGAGACTGCCGTCCAGTGCTGCTAGTTTTTCAGTGATGGTCAAGCTTAGATGAACTCATGAATTCGACTATTAAAATACTAGTTTTGTCAAAATGTTCGTGTTTAGATTTAGTCTGTAATATACAAACGCAAAGTACCATAATCTTTTTCTGACTACTACAGGAATGAGTAATAAACTAATGAATAATTTAGCAAGATCTTTTGTATAATTAGAAGTACAAGTATTGGATAAAGAAAATTATTTTATACAGTAACTATATGTTAGTTCATATTATTGAATTCATTCATGAAAATACAATTAACGGGTCTTTAAATAGTTTTAAACAGATACGTTTACTTTCTGTTTTCAAGCTTCTAGCATGAGAAGCTTTTCTCATAATAACTTGTTTTTATAAAACGAATTCTCTCGTATAATTGGTGATCAATGAAATAATTTAGGTTTCGACTGGCCTTTATTGTTAAAATAGTTGTTTTTAAAAAAATCGTAATCATGGATATTATTCATGCTGGATTTATCGTGTTATCTAAGTGCTTATGGAAATATAAAAATCGACTGAAACTCGGTATATCAAACGCTTTGACAGATAAATTCTGGATACGAAATACGGACGAAATAATGTTCACCTTTATGTAGAACGTAACTTTGTTTCTGTAAGTGACTAATATTTTCAGATTCGAGGACTACAGTGAAGTTGCAGCCTATGATAGCAAAAAGAAATCACATCAGGTAGTTGCCATAACTACGAAATTGACGGTGACAAAGACAGGAACATTATTAAAATTAGGTTGCAAAATATTTAATGTGAGCATGTAAAATAACCTTAAAAGTAATTACATATACGTAAATCAAACTATTATATTCAGCTATAGTAATTCATTTATCCGTTTGTTTGAAGCATGAAAGAGAAATCCTAGGTGTAGATTAATGCTGAATAAAAATCATGTCAGAGCTTCTGATAGGATTATCTTCATATATTTTAGAAGAAAAATGTTTTCAACACCCTGTTCTAATTCGGATGCATAAAGAAGAAAAAAGTCAGTGAAATTTATGATATACATATTAATGGGCTGATGTTCTATCAAATTCAAGCGACATTGGAAACAAAAAATCACGGTGTGGGAGTGGAAACAATCGTAAGAAAGTACGCAAAGATTAAGTATGTTAGTAACAGAGTAAATAACGAGAAAAAAATCATTATGTTTATTATTTATAATTAGTCAAATAGTGAATATATCTCTCTATGTACAAGGGTTTCTCTTTATGTCATTTTTGTCATTTTTACAAATCTTAATGAGGAGCAAAGATGAATAGTGGCTAGCAGTGTAATCCAGGACTCACGTTTCATCCTATTTCGGACTCGTCAGCTGGATTCACCTGACAGGACTCAGTAGCTAAATGGGTAACGCAATGGCTAATGGAGCGAACGCTAATGGCTCCTAGTCCCGGTGTAAACATCAACTCTGGGATGCAGGTACATCTAGTCGTCCAACCTACAAGTCCTAAATAAGAGGAAACGAGCGTCCTGGATTCCAGTTCTAGCCACCATCCATCTTCGCTTATAATGGCTATGACTTAAGGCAATATAGAGGCGATTGACACAGGATGCACATATACCATAAGAGACCGATCAGTTGCAGTGCAAAATATCAATTGGAAGATTCAAACAAATAATACAAAATGATCTTAAAGAGAAACACTTAATTACTGATCTTTTACAAATCTTTGATTAGTATCTACATTTGGCAGATTCAACCAAACTATACTTTCGTTTTTTCTATTTCTATGCTGACCAGCTTCTGACATCTCTTAAATCACTAGCTTAATGCACTTAATGTTTTCTAGACACAAGTTCATCAATAAGTTCGTAACCACATTGACAAAATTAATTTCTTTATTTAGCATTCTATCCAAATTGCACATTGATTGTTTTTAAGTCGATGATGTTTGAAATGTAATTTGAAACGATCAAAAAAGATATCTATAATCGTATGTTTTTATGATACGTTTTATTATACTGCTCTTTTATCCTTTCATTTCTATCTCAACCATTCAGTTATGTTAAGATGATTGTTTTCAACAGTAGCATTTGTAAACAAAATTTAATTTTGTTTATAATCAAAGTTTTTCTTTATCCTATGTTACATAAGCCACAATGTCTATCCTACATCTAGGTAAATTTCATCAGCTACTTCTGATCTTCTGTGACTTATATTTATTTCATAGATCAGAGTAATTAATAAATATTATTAATCTTGAAGGACCTTACTGGATGGTCATACATCAAAAGAGTATTTCGTAAAATATAACTGAACAGATTTCTTAGAGAATGATTGTCTAATAAATGAATACTCAAAATATTTAGTAAAAATGATGAAACATTTATATTTCCAGACATCTCAATACCATTTTGAATTATAGAGTGGAGTAGTGGAAAATGTTACAACTTAAAAAAAACTAAACTTTAAATGTGTTTATTTAGCTTTATGATAAATTACGTTTGAAAATTGAATTATAAATGTTGAATCTTCAACATGCTCTTTAAGCGATGTAGAAAATCTTATGCAAAGTCTAGCTTATATTAAAAAGCAACGATTATTCAGAAAACTAGATATCATCAAAAGTATTTAGTGATTGTTATTTATAGACCACATATTTATCATCCTATTGCTAATCTGCTGCTCTAATCAATGGTTGTATGGATTAGTGATACATATGTATTTGGTTTTTATAGATTATCTGATTTGAAACTGAAATAATTCTGGAACAATATTTCCTTTCGAAGAAAGCTCTTCCTGTTGATATACAATGAATAGATTTTCAAACATATTTACATGTAATTTAAGGTCATTTATACTACCACAGCCAGAACTGAAAGCCTATTGATTTCTTTTTGAGTTTTATTTTTATCCCCTTTATTCATTTATTATCTGATTTGCCTTTCTATCTTGGTTAAGCATTTTGTATTAAAGTAACAGCTTAATTCCCTAATTATATATTCAGTCAGTTGAGCACTGATTTCATATATATATATATATATATATATATATATATATATATATATATATATATATATATATATATATATATATATATATATATATATATATATATATATATATATATATATATATATATATATATATTCAGTTGAGATTTTCAGTTTTTCTTAGCCACTATAATCATCCCATCAACATTTTTCAGTCATTTGGATCATCTTACGAAATCAATATGTGAAAACAAATCAGAAAATTGTTCATATAATTTTCTGAAACAAATTGTTGAAGAATAAATGCTTTCTGTAGAGGTATTCTTCAACTGTTTAGTTACTTTATCTCTTACAACAAAACTTCACATGTATATTTCCAAATCCACATGAATTCTTTTTTATCGTAATTACCTCGATAGACACCCCTCTTACTGTATATTATGCTTTAGTGATTGAATTCATGAGTCGATCTAAGCTAAACTATCATAGAAAACCTGAAAGCATTGGACGGCTGTTTCGTCACAGTATGAGACTCCTCAGTCGTGTCCATTCACGATCCTGCACGTGGAACTTGAAACCAGGACTTTCTGTTTCGTGCACGAACATCTAACTCCTAGACCATTGAGCCGGTACCCAACAGTGTTAATGTCTAACTTCAATCGATCTTGCGCAACCATTTATCGATTGTCACCATTATACTGATTGTGACATGACGCTTCAAATCATTTTGACCTTTATTAAATGACCTTTCTAATTTACAGATAATACAATTTTGAAGTATATATATCGTAACAGATGCAAACGTTCACCATTTTTAACATATAACATTGTCAACTTCGTTAATACATGCCTTATTTTGGTCTTTGTAAAATATCATAATTATGGACTTATAACTGTAGAGCCTGATAATGAAGTTACTGAAGACAATTGTTCGCCCAAATATTCTTCATTATATAATATAATGACATGTAAATGAAAGTAATCTTTTTCTTTCTTGGCGACGTTCCATGTTTAATCACATTTATATTCAGTAACTATTCTTTATTTATATAAATTGTGAATGAACATTATTAATTGATTGATTGGTGTTCAAATAAGTACTACCTGCGTCGTTTCCTCTTTTGTTTTATTGACCAAAACCTGTGATTGAGGACTATCAGTTTTGAACTATCTTGTTAGGCCACTCTACACTGCGTGAGATTATTGGCATGAGCTACTTCGAAAACATTATTGGATTAATACTTCGATTCATACCGTTGGTGCCAAACTTTCAGGAGCATATTAGTAATTGAGTGGACTCCATTTGTGGTCGTTACCCTAAAGGAACTTCCAAGTAACATTCATTATATAACTTTTGCTATTACCTTGTCAGTCAGTATATCTTCATATATAAGTAATACCATGTATACAATCAAATAGAACATGTGAGGATTCGAATTTATTAAATTTTGATGCTATAATAAGTAAAGTATTAGACATAAAAACGTATTTCCAGTCGCACACAGCATCAAAGTGCATGAACACTAAAACTAAATGCAATAACATGCTTTGAGCATGTCAGAAATGTTTATATTTTTCTTCTAAGTAAAGAAAAATATTTTCCTTACCTCATTCTCCATATTGCAAGAAATATAAAGTAAAATCTATTTCTTCTTGATTGTTCTTTTGCAAAATCCACCAATATGATTTGTGAGATATTGTACAAAATTATGATATTTTGGTTGCTGTTTTTTCCAGATCTACGAAAAGAATGATTTATTATTCAATTAGGTGTTTTGTTAAGATTCGGTATTTCTGGAAAGAGGTTTTCACCACAGATCAAAACCAGTCAGATCACAAAATATCACACTGGACAACTGATTTATCCTAGTTTGTAACTTTATGTCCCCATTCATGATTACACACAGAATAGATAGCAACAAATAATCGGGATCCGACTAGGCATAGTTTTCAATTTTACTTTAATTACATCATCAGTCAAACTAGGTTATTGAAAATCTTTCTCAAATATCTCGATAAATATGTGAGCCTGATAGCAAAATTTAAAATTTAAAATTCACATTGATTAATCTAAGTTGAAAGAGCAAACTGAAAATTTTCAAAAGCTTTAACTAATGTAGTTTTACATTAAATTACAAGATCCTGTAATGAATTCTGCAAACACTTTGATTTCAGACGTTGGAAATCAAATGCTAAAGATTGTTAACAATGCAGTTTACTAACTCTTGTCTTTAACTATTAGAAAAACAACTACAATAAAATTTTATCTATACTCAAAATGACTTCATATATATACATTAATAGACTTGATGAATTGCAATTTTTTTAAAAACTTATTATCAGTGTAAAATAATAGTTACCGACTTACGGTCAGTTTTTAGTATTTATATTAATCAAAATAATTTTATTGGTTTTAGCCCCATTTTATTTTTCCTAAATTTTGCTTATTGTCTTCTCTGAAGATAATTAATAATAGGCGGCTTAAAAGAGTTCATAATTGTTGTAATTCTCTCTTTTATTACAACCCAGCTATTCCTATTGCTTAGTATTCTTGGAAAATAAATCACTCGACAAGTCCCCAAATCAGAACATGATTGAACAGTAATATAGATCATATTGCAAATAAGAAGGTTAGACGGAAGTAGAAGTACAATAGGGAAAACGTTAGTATATTTATAGTTTTTTCACATGAGAAGATTTCTAGTGTTCGCTAAGCATTAACTTACGCTGATTGGATAGGAATTAGTCAATCAGCGTGCGCCAACGCAAGCGTGCATTGAGCATGATTTAATCCAATCTAGTCCCGCTAACAATAATCAAACTCATTGTAACACATTTTTTTCTTTCCTTACTGCTTCTAAGTTCATTTGATAACAGTTCATATCATGAAAACCTAACTTATAGGATAGGATACAAATTTTCACCATATAAACGAAATTTTACATAAAACCAAGTCAAAAGTGGAGAATTTACAATACTTAAGATAACTTTATATAATCTGACATGGTTATAGGTAAAATTCATCATTGAATCAGACTGTGCATGCCACGAACTAGTGTCTATAGATAATTTATGACAAAATTTTGAAAACGAAGTTCACGAAATTTGTCAGTGATGTACAATCTAATAAACACACCAGTTTAAACGGACAGATTGTAGAGATTCTTCTTAATGATAAGTGGTTAGAACTAGTCGTCAGGGTGCTGTGCACAGAAGTTTTGTACCAATTGACACACGTCAATAAGTAATTCTTGAAATTTAGAAATGACGCCCTTGATATGGATTCGGACCTAAGCATGTGCAGAAATTTTCAATTTTTCTAAATATTTCTTTACTTGATACTAATCTTTGGCAAAAACCATCTACAAAAGTGTTAACATAGGAAATCAGTGCCCTTAATCCAATTCTACTCGGATGTTCTACGAACATGGAAATTGAACGAACCCGCTCGCTGTTGAAAGACGTTCTTTATTTGATATTTCTTGACCAGTTTTGTTTTCGCTTAATTGCCTTATCGAAATATGTTACTGTAACAATAAAGAAAAGTCACAATCCCACTGAGCAATTGATTCTTATTTTCCAAAAGGTTACTAGTGGTATAAAACATGTAAGAACATATTGATGTAGAAAATAACATGTATCGTGTTAACGGGATAAAATAAAACACCTATAGAGAAGTTAATCCGACTAAATGAGACTTAGTAATAATAATGGCATTACTATATGGGTCTATTACAATACAGTAAAAAATCTTTCGGTATAAAATATTTTAGCAAACTCCTCTTAATCTACAATGCGGATATATATGTTGAAAAATTCTAAAGTAATAAAGTTTCCTTCATCTTTATCTATTATTCTCTGCCCTATATCTCAACTATATTACTTTTGTCAGTAGACACATCAACATTTAGTAGCGTTCACAATCATTCATGAGTAGTTGGGTATATATGGTTTTTCAAAGAATGAACTATTCTAGGTTAGTCCTTTGACATTACGACAATGATGTACAATAATGGTATATGACAAAGAAGTCATTCCAACTCAGAGCTCGTTTCAAGATATTCTTATCGCTTCATTAGTAAGGTTGTGCTTACAAAAGTCTTCGAGCGCACCAAATACTAATGGATTATAGGACAGAGCTTTTTATTTGTTATTGCTTAAAAACCATCTAATAAATTCGTGCCTACTATTTTCGTTGTCTGACGATGGTCATATTAATATATAGAATTAGTTCATTAAGCTACTGATAGTTAGCCTCAGACGTGCTAGAGACTCCAGGCTTTCTTGGTGTGATCCACAAGATAACTGTATTTGGTAGTTCAATACCAGATAAAATAAAATAAAATTGATTGAAGGAATGGTGACAAATTTACTTGGCGTTATTACTTCTCTATACCTTTATTGCTCAGGTAAAAACCAAAGACGTGATGTTATCACTGCTGACGCAACCTTATAGTTTTAGGTGAATACTTGAGTTTCTCGGGAGTCTTTAATACGAGCGAATATGTCGAAGCAATAAAATTACCCCTAATTTAATAAAACCATGAATCAATTTCTTCATTGTGCTGTCATTTTTAGTAGTAAGGAGTAAAAACAGTATGCAACAATACTAAAGAATTATGTGTAACCCAAATAACATGCAACATAACTAAGCTACCATACATGATTGACTTCCATCATCAGAAAACTTTGAATAAAAATAGCGAGTTGATAAGTAATTTCCAGTGGCTAGACCTACATTTATGATCTTTAAGGAAACCTTAATAACTGATAAACTATGTTTTTATGAGAACCAACGATTCCCGATCGGTTCAGTGGAAAAAAAGCAGTATACAATGCACGTACAGGGAAAAATAACTGACTGAAATTATATAACACACCACCTAACAATCTTTTTCTTAACTTCTACGAGTCACTTATCTTTTCTTACATAAATAAGTGCGGCACTGTGATAGTTGGGATGATTTAAGTAAAAATATTTAAGATCTTTTTATATAGATCACCACGTTTCACGAAATGTAGCTTTCAACTACCCCATATGTCGTAAAGAAATTCATAAGAAAAATCAAGATTATTATTTATTTTATAGTCTCCTCCACAAAGATTACATTCCAGAGGGAGAACTTGTGAATCAAACACAGCTTAAAGTGTACAACATCGAGGTAGCTATTCTATTGTCAGGGATGAATAAATTGATGTAAAGCTAAACCGATACACGAAATTTTGTGAAAGTGAGAGATGGAAGAAATTTGATTAAAAAGAGTGAAAAAATAGTATTTGAACTAAATAAAATAAAGTTATTGTTGTGAGTAAAATCACTTAGAATTTGTTTACTCAGATTTCATACGCACGAAAGAGTTTCACAATATTATGAAGCTTATCAGAGTTATTTTCGTTTATAAAACGCCCATCTAAAAAGAAAGTTGACAAGTGTAGCACAATAACAAACCGGAATCTGAAGTACTATCCAACATCCGAGGGGTTTTGTCAGCATTGGAATACCAGTGCATACACTAGACATTACAAAAATGGATATATATATACCTCTTCAAAATTTTTCTGCAAACCAAGATATTGTTCAAAAGAAACAGATATATTGCTGAACAACCAGGTATCATACATGCTACGGAGGTTTGAGTTAGTCAAAACTTCTTTGGCTTTCTGAATTTTCTGAAAAAGTGAAGCTATAGTGGAATTTAAAACTAGCTGAATAGCTACCTGAGTTTGGTTCCGAATTTTTATCTGGATGGAGCTCTCTAGCTTTTATGCGATATTCATAAAGGATCTGATCTTCCTACTGAACGTTAAGTAAGCAACTGCAGCAAACCGTTGAATCTTTGCTCACACCCAGCAACTCATAAAAATTGTCCTTTGCGGGGTTCGGCTTACTAAGTAGAGTATTCATTTCAAGGCACTGAAGAATAAAAAAGTGCCCTTAGGCAAAGCGAACTTAAATTTTCTTCGGGATCTATATATGACCAACAAAAACTTAACAAAATAAATAGATGCAACCTCAAATCTCTTATGAACTTTTATCCGAGGTACGAACTACAAGTATCATTGGGACTCACTTCCTGAATCTAGGGAGTTTACTTTGTTATTCATAGGTCGCGGTATTGTACCTAATCTCCTAACTTTAGGAAAGGTTTCGAGTCCTGCTCAAAAATAAAGGATTTTTTCAAAATTGAGAGAGTAGGACAATTATGGATTGCAATTTTTAAAGCTTTATAGATCTTTACATTGATACAGGTATTTATTTTAAAAGAACATCAATAGTCTGCGTACTCAATGTGGCGGTGAAAAATCCTCTGATTCTGGGTAATTAAAGATGTACTTCATGGTTTTAAATAAGTGTATATTCACATTCGTAAAGCAGAACTTTACAATATTGTAAAGTTCTGCTTGAAATGTTATACTATATAGTATAACATTTCAAGTCTTCACAACAAGTGGCGCAGCTAAACACGTGCGATAAGAAATAATGATATAACTCGTATTACTGCGTGGAAAATACATATAGTTAGCATTGGGTAAATATGCACATTTTAATCTCCGGAATTTGGGATTGACATATTGACGCTTAAGTATATCAGTGACAAAGATAAAAAGCAGGAGAAATAATGTGAAGGAAGTTTCAAATATAAATTATGGAGCTATGTAACATTACAGTTCTTCTATCAGCACACTGATATAATTTCATAGGGAATTCAAACGTACCCTCAGGATCACCACAATAATTCAAATTAGTTCCCACTACAAATAACGATACCCAAAGGTCAAGTAGCTGTCATCCTACTGGTGTATTGGCAAAATGCACAAACCAATTCAAGCAGACGAACTCGATTCAGATAGGTCTACTTGGATTTATTTCGCTTACTATTCAGTGGATATTATGTAGCATTTTTATGAATTAATTGAAGCTTAGTGGCAGAGGAAGGCTCAACGACACACATTTACTCTCATTATTTGTACCATTATAACGTTCTAGTGAGGAATCCCTTCATTTCACGTCTCCAAAAAGTAAACATAACTTCGGACATAAAGGAGTCGGTCCTGGATTTCTTAAACTTTTTAGTGTTCTTCTGGAGTACGATTCACCATACAATAACTGGTGTTAGATTATTTTAAAAAACTGCTATAACATAAGGTATATGAGTTGATAAACCTTAGTCTCTCAACAGAATTAGTCAGTTGCGTTTACCACTCTGATCTCTGAATGCCGAACTCGTACTAGCACAGCTGCATTGTGACTAAAATTATTTGTTTCAAATGCATTTTGAAATTATTGTACTTACTTCTCTGAAGTGTCCACAAGGTCCGATATTGTTAGCAACCACTTCACTTGCGGTTCGTTTATGATGAGTGGCAGGATACTGCAAGATTTGACAGTAAATATGTTGAGGATATGCAATTTTTATAACACTACAGCTCGAATCCAATACTTTTACATGGATCTCTAAAACCACTCAGACCAGCAGTCGAGAAACAATGGATCGGAGAACATATTTGCGTAATAATGTATGTGTAGAGGTAAATTCAATTTAAGCTAAATCGTTATCATAAGAGATGAACAGGATGAAGAACCCAAATGACCTAACGTCTAGAGCATGTCTGTTAAGTCTAATGCGTTCGTCAGTGTTGAGGAGTTACAAGATTGTCTAATATAGGGGCTTATTAACTAACAAAACAAATGATCTCAAAACAGCCAAGACCAATAGTCGACGATGACTGAATTGGAGAAAATATATGAAGAATAGGTGAAGGTATCGTTGCGTATTATTTTTAAGCCGACTAGTTATCGGATGAAAAGATTTTCACGGTGAAATAAAATATGATATGATTCGAATGTTTCGGTGGGTGCCCTGATCTAGTGATGTGTCCAGTATAAAGGTATGGTCACCATTGCAGTGGTAAATAAATTCACAAAATTGCCTGTTCAATTCAAAGAATGTGGCCAAATCGTTCGCTTTAGATCTTGCTACTCTAAACCTGTGAATATAACCAGTGGGGTTATACAAGGAAGTATGATTGGTCCATTACTCTTTCTCTTTTTTATCAACGACGTGTGTTCCCTCTTTCAGTATGGTAGACCTTTCCTTTTTGTCGATGACCTAAAAGTAGTTTATTCATTCTCTTCTCCCACCAAAGAAAGCTATATTTCAGCGGTAACCCAAGAAGAAATAAATAAGTTATACGAATGGACTGTTTCGTGGAATTTGAAACTTGGATTTATTCACATTGGCCGCTGCCTGGACCTAAATCTGACTATACACGAACATACACTAAAGCCTCTCAACACTGTTCGTGACTTGGGTTTAAGATATATCAACAGTATGAACTTTTCTGAGCACATTGTCTCAAGTATCCAAAGCCAGAAAGCTCATCGGGTTCATAGTGCTAACATTATTGAAACTTGTGTATTATTGCATTTTTGAAGAAACTCGAAATGGTTTCTTCATAACACTTATGTACCCATAAGATGTTTGTGAATGATAATAATAATGAAGTTGATAAAGTTCAAGGCTTAATTGTTCGTTCTGTTCGGGATACGTCTTTAGGTTCCCAGATAATAAGCGTCATATTCACTATTTTCAGTTCTTTTAGTATTTTGCTGGCTGCGGGTATTGAAACACGCTTCTTGCCTTATTTGAGACTCTAGTTAATGATAATATATCTCCGCAACGGCAGGTACACGCCAGTTTTACGGGTTTTTTTCTAGTAATTCTGTTCACAGTTATCCTTTAGGTAAGTAAATGTCACCTGAAACGCGGCCGCACTACTTAATCCATGTCGCCACTAACTCGTGTGATAATATTATAGAGTACCCGTAGTTTTCACTCAATAATATCCAAAACAAAATTTTGACAGACCTGTCTCCAGAAATACATTTTGGTTGCACTATTTACGTTTAGCCTCTACTCACTGGTTTTAGTTCTAAAGTTCATACCTGGTAATTGCAAATGTTTAAAAGCTACATTAACTACAGAATTCGATCGAATCAACACATCGTTAACCGATCTGTCTCAGGAAACAAGACGGTTGCATACATTTTAAGGTACCAATGAACGTAATTCTTTTCATAATTCAATCCAGTAATTAGGGATATTTGAAAAACCTATATAAATGGTAACTCGTCAAAATATTACTGCTGACTAGCTAGCTTGATCCCTTGTTGTTTTATGCACTGAAGAGTTTAAACTTATCAAAACCAAAGACATCATATAACAATATCCACCAGCCGCGAACAGGACATCGCTCCGACGATATAAATCTTAAGTTCGAACAAAATAATTTAGTCATTATAATGAAACATAAAAAATGGCAAATTCCAAAGTGAATAGGTTTGAGGGGGCTTAAATAAATTCTACAATCCGCTTTACTATGACATATTGGTTGTGATTTTCAGTACTGAAATACGCTTAGGACGGATTGTAGTGGTATCAGTTCTCAACTCCACAATTCTTGAAGCTGAACATACGATAATTGAGAAGATTCACATTCAGCATCTAACACTTGAAGGAGATCAGGAGGACTTGACTCGTGAACACTTGATCGTCATGACATGCCTCGAACGTGCAGGCGTGCCCACCCTATGAAACGTTCCTTTTCACATTAAAATATATTATTATATTCACAGCTCAAAGCTATTCTTCAAAAAAGCTGAACATCTGATTGGTAACTGTAGAGATAGTGAAGTATAGGATAAAACACGTAACATCACAAGGCAAAATACAATAAAACTAATAGAAGCTATAAATGGCAAAGTGTGGAGCTCATAAACAGAAAATATTATGATGTCAACTATAAGACTGAGCTTACTCCAAGCGAATTTCCTAAATAAGTTTCTATACTGTTGCCAAACTAGTCTTTACAGGACTACTGTGAAAACAGATCATGGTCAACACTTATAACATATTCTCAAGACATAACTCAATACAATTAGTGTAAACGTGTGAGAGAAAGTAGTCGTAGTATTAGTTTACCCTTTCAACCTAGACACATATTCATTTGAACAAACAATTCTTTTTTTCCGCCTATTAAGGATCAAACAGCTTAGGAGCGTACCAAGAATATCAGTGGTTTTCAAGCCTGTTTCGAGTTGACCTCACTATAGCACAAAAACAGGAAATTTGAATTACGTTTGAGTTTGGTTTCTGATAAGTTGCGCCTAGTAATTTTCTTTGTACCACTTGGAAACTTGATTGTTTCTGTTCATTTCTCTGGCAGTCGGCTGAACGTTTTGCTTCCTTGCTCAAGCACGAGTATATTTTGATTTGCAATTACATTTCGTTTTGACCTTTTCAGGACTACTGAAAAAGTTGAATAACCGACGAAGAATACATTGAATCGATAAGTTCGTTTTACGTTTTTCATTGTTGCGTTGTACCAAATAGCTCCTTATATAAGAAAAGATGACCACACTCTACTAGAAATAGCAAGCTGTAAAAACGTGTTTACCGACGACAAGTTTATTGTGCTTAAACTCTGTTCAAAGGGGCATTGCGTCCCCACTAGGGGTAGGAGTAAGTGTAACAATGACAAACAGCCAAAATAATAACGTAGTTCTTATTTCTAATGCAAAGTAGATATGTTTTAAAGGGCTGGAAAACGAAACAATTAAGTGAAAAAATGTCTCAGTAACCTATATCAATAAGACAGGCTAAAATGCTGCAACACAATTCCTCTCGCGTTTCCTGGATAATGAGGTGAATAAACACTGGCTTACTGTACATTGAGTGACGATTTCTCGTACAAATAACTTTTATATCCTCTTATAATAAAGATCAACCCTCTGTGAAGACGCGCTTGAAACTTCTAGAGGCAAGAATAAAACCTTTCATGCTAGAAGTTTCGTCTCACACATCGTATCACGAATTGCTGGAATCATTTCACCAGAACAAGTAAAATCAACTCCTACCATCAATACATTATAGGCGAGGTTATGTCACTGAGATATTACAAAACACGAAAGTTAAAATACATCACTTCCGTAAACTGGTTTAGTTGTTTGTTCCAACTAAAAAGCTTTGTTTTGGATGCGCGTAAGTTGTTCGTCTTTGTAAACGCGCTGGATTAAACATGTTCACTATAATCATTGAAGCTTACCTTTCGTTCCTTAATGGTAGTGGATAGTTATGGGAAATTCGAATTCGTCTAATAATGATCAAAACAGTTGGATCACGGTTCCTCCTGTGAGTATTTCTTTTGGTGAATTTATCATATAAACGAAGCTGATCAACTTTTGACAAATTTGTGTAGTTAGACGTGACCAAATTTATCCACACATGTCCAGACTGTGTCAGTGGTAGACACCATCAATGGGGATACGCGATGTTTCACTTTCTACTTCAGTTAGCTTATATTTTTTGTCAGATGTACATTTTTCTCCGTGCTTATATTCTAAACATCTGTTTTCCTCATATGTAGTGATGTTTGCATTTTCTTCTGGTTCAGTTTGGTTCTCATCATAAATACGACCATAAATCTAGACGGATGCTAAAAGACGTAATACTGTCAGTTCTGGACTTTGATTTCGGAACTTTGTATGATGCGTCTTCTCAGCCCAAGCAATCATAATGGGAGGAATAAAAGCGAACTTTTATGTAATAATAGGACAATTCCTTTCGAAAGTCGGTATAAGTATAAGTGGTCAGACACTGAATTTTCGATGTTTTCGTCATTCCGGAGTTAATAGTGCCAATTTTCCTCTACCATGCCCCACTAAAGAACATTGTCTCGAAAGTAACACCTTTACATTCCCAAAGATTAACACCACGTTGTCTCTTCTTCTCTAATATTAACACGTCGGGTCGTATACTTTACCCAAAAATCGGCAAACCGTTCATTTATCGCTTGAATATTTAAGACCTTAACTCTACAGGGCAGTCAAAATTTCTACACACTCGACATAATTCAAGAGTGATTTATACGAGAATTTATTACAGAGTTTTACGTAAATAGTTGCGAATGTTATTTACATACATGTGGCAATTAAACGTCAACATTGTAGCTGAAAAATGATTGTATTTAATCATGCTTTAAAAATGTGTGTAATGTGAGATTTATTAAACGTATGAGGCTTAGTTCTGAAATACTGGTGGATACTAACGTTTTCTACTATATCTAGTTCGGTTCAATGCACTTGGTGCAATTGGGAACGTAATTGTAGTATACCTCATATAACTTAAAATGACCCGAGATGTACCCTGGATTTACACTCACCAGGAAATTCTGTGAGCTGTGGCAGACTTAAAACGTTTGGTATATAGAATGGCTAAGATACCTAGTCAAACTGCATTTCAATCCCTGCTTTGATCCCAGAAGATTTAATTTTAATATACGCTTAGTACGTTGTAGTAGATAATGGGTCCATGTCCTGTTCTTCACGTGTACCATGTAAATTGCAAGCAGGTAGATGAAATCCAATCGATCTACCAAACTGTAACTAGTATCTTAGCTAATCTAACTGGCAATACTAAACCACCATTCTTAATATCTTTAGAATTAACCTATGGGTCCTTAGTCTTGGGTCTCTCACCCCTCGTTTTAGCTTTCTGTACGTTTCCTTAAGGCTGACTTCTAATATCACTAATTCAAATAGTGAGTACCTGGAGTGGATTAAAACTACTTCTTAAAGGTTTGGTCTAAGAGCAGATCATTAGCGGGTGATGTAAGCTATTTCCCCACGAAATATAAGCGTATGTTTAGTCTAAATTGCGTACACTACCTTTTTCATCTTTTAGTTGTGTTGTTCACAACTTCACACAATCGTTGCTTCTTCGCTACAAATCGTGCTCGTAGCTCGATGGGGTGATTTTCCAACCATTTATTGGATACTAAAGTTCATTGTTTTAAAGCTTTTAACTTCAAATTGTTAGAGGTGCTGATCCCGTCTGAATTCAAGGTACTTCTGGATAAATATGCCATCCATCCATAGATGATCATCTAGCTAGTTTTGTCTAGATCATATAGTTAGTTTTCATACTTTAGCCTGGTTCTAATGGTTCTTCACAGATTTTCCTTCAGTGAAGTGTAAACAAATATTTGGTCGCGTGGATTATCCACTCAGTTAACTAAATTGTATGTTTTTCATACAGACCACTATCTTTTGTACTGTATGATGTTAACTGAAGAAGGATTAAGTCGCAAAGTGCTATGAGAGATCAAGTTTTAACATCAGTTAATGAAGTCTCTAGATGCTAGTTAGTGTGTATTTCTTTACTTTGTCTAACGATGAATATTCAATCTACCTTACATAGTTAAGCATATTTAATTAAAGTTGTAGTTATTACGACTCTACAAGCTCTAGCTCTAAAGAATTAGTCATTGGATTAACGCGATTATTAACCAGCATTAAGTCTACTTACTTCATTACACCACATCTTTAGTCTTCTTTCTGTCTGATTTTCATTGGGCCGTAAATTATATAACATCCCTAGGAAACAATTAATTACACGCAAAAGCGTTTCTGCAACAAAAATGATTTAGTCAGCATCGTACTGAGTCCTAAAAATTATTCTATCTTGTTCCTCGTAACTTTGATCTAAACCCACGGATTTTTCGCTCAGTCAGAATTATGATAGAGAAAATGCCTTAGAATACTAATTTTCAAAGTAAACATGAACATATTTTTACTGAGTGTTCTTTTATATTTATTTTTAACTTAAGAATGACGCTTCTCCGCCTATGTTTGAACCATCACTTCGGTCTGTAGTCGAAAGACGACCTATTTTCTCTTCTAAAATTTCATTCAATAATGGTCAATCATCCAATTCTATGCTTCCAGCAGCGATAGCACCGGATTCTTCACAAAGCTTTGATCAGATACGCTACCAACCCTATAATACTAATTATGTTCCCGACGCAGTTCAGCAGATCAAAGGAGCGAAATGGACAAATGATTTTGTGGGTGTTCCAGTAACTGCTGGTGATAAATCATCTGTTGGAAATTCATCATGTCTACCTAACACTCATCAATCAACGAACTTCTCACCAACTCAACAGCCTGCCAACTTCTTAAACAATTCAGTTGCGCAGATACGAAATAATCCATCACATAATTCATCCCAGATATCTACAGAAGGGCAATTCGTCGCTTTGCATGATTACGTTAAACGTGTAGATGATGATTTGAATATGACCAAAGGACAAATATTTAATATACTTGATAATTCACACTCTGATTGGTGGTATGCGGAGTGTGTATCTACTGGTAATCGAGGATATGTACCCAAAAATCATTTAGCAGCTGTTACCAGTTTAGAATCCAATGAGTAAGTAAACTTTTGCCGTTTACGTACTGGTAAGACTTCCATTAGTTGGTGTGACTTTGTTAAAGTTATCTTATGGAGTCTGGTTATCGCCGGTGATATTTGAGTAGGAATAAAATCATTTAAATTTCCATGACATCTTAATTTCTATTTAGGCATGTTAAGACTATCAGTTAATTATAAAAGTGATCAATTGTTTTTCGTTCGATTGAGTTTATGTGTGTTGGAACGAGCTATTCACTGGATTCTATCTTGTACAAAGTTCCCCATTATGTTAATTTTTTATTTTACCAGTGTTGCGTGAAATCCGTGCTGCCATATTATTAGTATGGGTAATAGTGGCTATCACTCATTATTAGACAGACTGTTCATAAAAGAACACTATTCTGTCTAGTATTTGAGAGTTTTAGATTCTCTGTTTGGTATTAACTAGTTCCCATCAATTCCAAGACAAATGTCAGGTGAAGTAAACAAAATAAAGGTTTGTTTTATTTCAACCAGTTGACCAATCAGTGAACCATACACAATGTGAAACTTGACACGTGTACATCTGTTCATATCTTCACACTCCATTAGCATAGCAAGATGAAGTTGTCAGAACAAGCCCCAGATTCTTAGAGATATTAATAGTACTGGTAGTAAGAGATTGAGGGTCGAAAATGCGATTCAAGAAAAAAATAGATTAGTGAAATGAAAATTTATACGGCCATTTAGAAGCTTAGGATATAAGCAAAGACATAGTGAGTCCATCTGCGCCATAGAGATCGATTTTGAACCATGTCATCCAAAATGTCTAACGATTGGTTACGGTAATCAGGGGGAGCCAGTCATATTGCTTATACGTATCTCCATGACTCATGGATTTATGCCATATTTTGCTTTGACCGCACCTATGATTATGGAGGCTAATATTTTAAACACTACATTAGTTAAGCTGATTCTTCTGTGGATATCGCAAGAGGATTTCTATCCTTTCTGTTAAACTGGAACGATCGGCTATTGAGACCAGTCAGATGAGACTGAGTCCAGTTTTTAGATCCTATCTACTCTCTTAAGTCAATCTAACAACTAAAACCGAATCACTCTCCTTACAGATCTCTAAGTTTAATCCATCAGGTCCTACTGCTCCCTCTCACTTTATATTATCCATGGCTCTTCCTACTTCATTGATAGGTTTTGGTGATGCAATAAGATATAGTTAATTAAGAATGTGTTGTATTAGTGATATTGTTGTGTAGGTTACTTATAGCCACATAAGTATATAACGGTGGTCAGGCATATAATGTATTTCAGTAGAAGATCGATAAGGAAGGAACGGGAACGGAACGCAACTGGTATGAAAATGCATGAACAGTGAAATCTGAGACAATGAACTGATATTCGCAAAAGGAACAGTCAAGTTTGAGACGATGAATTGATATTTTGTAAATTAACTATTCACTATATAGTTCTCAGATTTTAGTGAGATGCTCTGTAATTTCGTGTCAAATACATTCGATTGTCCCTACTCGTGTTCTGTTCACTACAATATGTGCTCGAAAAGATAATGATTGGTTGTTTGCTTAGTCAGAGTAGTAGATAGTCTGACAGGTACTAGATGAGTTATATATCCTCTTACCCTTTATTATTATTATTGATTGATTGTTGTCGGTTTTTAGTGTGGAAATAAACTTACGTTCTAGTCAGGCCAGTCACGTGTTCTTGATCTGAGTTGTGTTGAAGTCCTGTAGAATAGAGACTGGAATGGAATCTAATGTAGATATTCGTATAAGGGAAATTAGTGTCTCATTCGTGTAGACGAGAAAAACATTGGAAAATGCGAGAAAACAAAGATGGTGAAAAGAGATATGAATCAATACTACTAGGATAGTTTCAAGATGAAAACAAACTTTTTGAGTCGTCGTATGATCAAGGCTTCAGCAAACCTTAGTGTGGCCCCCCTGGGGATCCATACAACACTACGTCATCTGATTTTATATCAATCCTATGACCCGTCTCAGCCAAATATCTCTCAATGAAGGGAGATGCTGATAGAAATGATGGAATTTAACAAGTATTTGTGTGATCAAATTGTTTAGAACTTATTGAGTTCAATATATCATGTATTTCAGGTAAACTCTGTCTTCTCATTTGACTACTTAAATTTATCAAAAGACTGTTTTTTTTATCTAGTCAATATTTTTGTTTTGAAGTTGAAGATGGAAATAATCTCGATTCGATATCAACTGAATAATCGTATGAACTGATATCCCTTTTAATCAATTCTTAAAAGTCATAATTTATTGGGTCGTCGCTATTTCATCATTAATGTAGCATATAATGCCATTGTATAATTCTTGTATTCTCCATCGCTTGTTGATGGATTCTTCATTGTTGGGAGCTATTTTTACTTATTCTCAATGTTTAAACGAGTTATTTACCCCATTATCAGTGAGAATACGGATTTGTTTACATTTTTTTTAGCGATGAATTATCTAAGACTAGTAACATGAAGTGTGCTTATCGTTTTGTTTTCTTTGTGAATGTATATTTGTATCACCGCTTTTTTTAATTTTATAAATTGTAGATGGTATTTTGGAGAATTGAAACGTATTGAAGCTGAACATTATCTTCAACTTCCGGGAAACGATCATGGCTCTTTTTTGGTTCGAATCAGTGAATCTCAATCCAGTGAATATTCTTTATCAGGTTGGTAAACTTATATGATTGAAAAATAGCCACTAGGGTGAAACAAAAAATTACATTCAGCTTTGTTTTCCTTGTAAATGTATTAGTAGCGAATCAGTTTTCTCTATATTTTAAGGTTTTTTGCTAAGGTAACGAAAGTCAAGTTTATTACAAAATATGTTTACTTCTGATGACCATTCTGCCTATGTAAGAGCTAGTAATACTTACTACTCAGCGACCCAAACTAAAATAGGTGTGGGATTTTAACGTGTAACCTAATGGCTGAATAGTCATTACTTCTTTTAGCTAAGTCACATTATTGGTTTGTAAATAAACAAAGTTTTCAAAATAAATTGTACATGTTCAAAATTTCTTTAAATGGACTGGGTTAGGAGGTTTTATTTTGAAAGGAAATTAACAAAAGGCAAGGAGGTTTATTTTGGCAAATTATCGTAAAGTTCGATTCTAGAGTGTGGGCCTCCATTTTGTATATCGTTGACACTCAACGGGATTGTATATTCATCAATCTGTAATAGTAAGTTATACTTTAGCAAAGATGCACACCAGAAAACACGAATGTCTTTATTAACATATCAATATATTGAAGATGACTTGTTCTTTTAATCATTATATATTACATATTATAGTACTTTCAAGCCTATACAAAACTCCACTAAATTTCTGTTCCCTTAAGTGAAACCGTTAAATCAATTGGGAATTGTTGCACATATGGTGTTTTATAAGTGAAGTTCTGCAAAATTAGTGAATTTTGAACTTATCAACTGAACCTCTTTTTCATCTTTGTTAGTCTATCACAAGTAAGATTTGAAGAGGTTCATTTTCATTCCAGTTATTCTCGCTAAAAATACAGTTTTAAGCATTGGAATTGAAAATTAAGTGTCTTTAACCTTTTAGACGTTCTTCCCTTACCGATTTCAGCATTTGTGTAATTGTACACCATATGTACTGCTATCAAACGGTTTTAAAATAAGCTGTCGCTTTCCACACGTTCACTAAAAGTGATGTAGTGTGTATATACACCCTCTAAATCATCTCTAAAGTTATTTACCCTCTCTGATTAGCTTGTTGCATATCAGCCACTTTCAGACGAATGCGTCGTATAAATGAAAATTCTATGTTAGTTTAGCTTGTGCTGTTTTCATTATACTTTTTAAAAGTATTACAGATTACATCTGTTCAGATTTTCTGGCCTCTAATAGTTGTTGTTTTCATAAAATAGCCTTCTGAGATAATAAGTGATTAAGAGTAAAGTCCAAAAGGTTGGTGATTTTATTTTATATCTGTAAATGCAACACGATGCCTAAAGATTAAACTGAACAGTCAGGTTGTAATTGGTTGAAGAATTAATGAATTATAAGCTAATTTCCTGCCGCCTCTCATGGCAGTTTCGTGTTCATGTTTTGTATATAAGCATATTATTTATTTATATTAAACAACTATTCATATGGCCGGTAAGAGTAGAGGATATTCGTAGACTACTAGTATTTGATCATAGGTGTCTTCGAAATATTGCTCGTATATCCTAGGACCATCGAGTAAGTAACACAGTTGCTAGGAAACGGGTACTAGGTAAGGATGGCAAATCAATTGATGAAGTGGTGAAACTTCATCAGTTGAGATGGCTGGGACACGTGTTACGTATGCCCAACCACCGACTTCCTCGACGTGCGATGTTCAGTGGTATAGGAGTAGGTTGGAAGAAAGCTAGAGGTAGCCAGACCACAACATGGCACAAATCCATGAAGTTACTGACAAGTGGAGTTAGTCATGTCGGTAGGTGTAGACTACCTGGTTGGGGACCGCGAGATGATAGCAACCGATGGTTAGAAACCCTGGATGACATGGCTCAAAATCGTTTGCAATGGCGCAGGTGCATCCACTCTTTGTGTTCTCCCAAATTTTGATCTCCTGATTCCCCCTTGTCTCTTTTTTTCCTCTTCCCAAGTTTATTTCACTGTATTATACTCTTTAAGTAACATCTCCAAACACTAATCTCTCCGATTACTGCTTATACTCTTATTACCTCTACCACTACGGGATTTGAAACGACCACTGCATTTCTGTGCTAATGTGGTGTGGCAACTCGAACTGATGTACGTACGTACGAAGTTCTACGTTGTTACTGACTGACACACTCATATGGCTAGTGGTCTTGTCTTGGACTTTTAGTCGTTCGGGAGTCTAATTCATTAATACGGTTTCGTGAGCATTCATCATTCGGTTACATTATATCATTATGTCCATGTTTCGATCCCCATTCTATTCACCAATTTGAACAGTTGGGATTTCGTTTAATCAAACAACAGAAGTCCTCTATGACAAAAAAATCATTAGCGTTTAATTGTATACTTAAAACCCTTCTTGAAAATACTACCTTTGCGGGGTTCCATCCGATCTAAATAATTAATTATATTGTGCTAATGTCTGATATTAATGCCATCGGTTATCAAGATATACCAATTTTAATTTAATTTGGACCTCAGTGTAACCTAGTCACCGAACTCATTTTCTTGTAATCAGTTCTAGGCTACCTCTTAATATATCATTTAGTAATGGCATTCAACCATTTATACTATTGTAAATGAACCTGGAACCAAATGGTCAAGCATAGAGTAGTTTAATAAATAACTCATTATACAAAAGTGTAAAAGGGCGTATACTAATGTTTATTGAGGCCTTAACCCTACGAAAATTCAAACCTACTTTGTGTATTCAAAAAGTTTGTTCTCACCTTAAACCTACCCTGGTAATATTAGCTTATTATCCAGAGTAATGAGGTTTCAAATTATTTTCAGATTATTTCATTATTATCCTTGTCTCCTCTTACCCTCCATTTCTAGTATAGTTGACCTTTTTTTATTTTTGTATATATATATGTTCTTAACAAGTATGTGTGTGATCAGATTGTTCGAGATGTATTGCGCTAATAGTTCTGATAATGTCCGTCTTCTTATTGTACTATCGAAATTGAAATTGATGAATCATAACTCATCTGATAGTTATATGTTCTACTGAACTTTCATTATCTCCGTTTACATCCTTGAATACGACCATCTCTATTGAAATGTATGGGGGTTGTGGAGATTGTTAAGTTTTTGGTTGAGATCATGAATCAATTGATGTTAGACCACCGTTGGCAACCTGGAAGCACTGAACGGCCGTTTCGTCCTAGTATGGGACTCATCAGCAGTGCGCATCCATGATCCCGCGAGCGGGATTCGAACCCAGGACCTACTGGCTTCGCGCCTGAGCACTTAACCATTAGACCACTACTATTGAAGTGATCTCTTTCCGTTTTCTGTAACTTGTTTTTCTTCAGTAGTAATCTTATGCATGAATTCTAATGATTATCCACTATCAAGGAATAGTTGCGAAAAAAACATCCATTTTATTTGTTCATCTCATGTATATTGGGATTATTTATTTGTGGAATTACTTTTATTCTTTAATTATTCCTTAATTGTACAGTTAGTAAATGTATACTAACTTTTGGGTAGAGGACTTGAGTGTCATTTGAAATAGTTTATAAATGTCAACCAGACTTCCATTTTGTTTCTGATTGGTTTATTCAGTATACATTCTGCATGTTCCGACTATTTGTTTTGTATATGCCGCTTTGTTATGGATGATTCATCTAGTCACTTTTATTTGTATTCACAGCTAAAGTGAAAATCAACTGCCTAAACAATTATTGATGAAAATGGTTTAATTGCTTTTTTTGTTTGTCTTATAGATATTTTGCAGAAATATTACTTTTATAGAAAGGCTTTCATTTAATTATACTATTGTCTTTGTATACTGTTTTTAGGTGGTTTCTCCTAGTTGAAAATTCCGTACTCTTTATGGATTGTTTTATTTCTGTTGGTTAATTTTCAAATTTATTAATCGTTATGAGCCAACAAAACTAATGATCGGTTGTTTTTAGAAATTAGTCTCTAATGTACTTTTTCATTCAGTCGCTATATCATCAGTCTACTTTTCGGACTTATCGTATTTGTTAACGACTTTTCAACTAATATTTACATTTCTAACGATCCTCCATGGAGTTAAAATTTTTATCATCAAAAGACAAAGCTTATTTCTCCATTAATAGATTAGGTGGGATGATTTAACTCCTGACTTGTAATATGTATTTAGCCATATCTTGATGCTATTGTACCTAGCAGAATCAGAATTTCAGTTTCCCAAACTATTTATTCTTATGTAAATAGTTTGTCCGAAAGAAGAATTTAAAAAATTTCTATCTTCCAAGATTTTGGAGAAAATGGAAACTAACTAACCGAAAGAATAATGAGTATTTCTGTTGGTTTCACGTACATTTTGCAAATTGCTGTTCGGTACACATTCTAAACTGTTCTTAGCATTAACAGATTGTTAATAGCATGTTAACTATGTTACGATGCTCAGAAGTTGTTTTTGCCTATTTTAATCCAATTTTCAAATCGATATTAGAGAGGTCAAGTAAATCATGACAAGTGTATTGTTTTAGTTCTGTGGATTTCTATATAGAAAATATGTATCTCGGAATGCTCAACTTATCATGGATAGCCTGATAAACAGTTGTGTATGAAATGCGTCATCGGAAATTCGTTGTTAGGAGAGAGTTTTCTTTCTACACATCTCTCTTTAAGTGTATGAAGAATGTCATTCCTTTTTTGTTTATTTGTAATTTACTTGGAAAGCTGGTCTTATTTCATTTTGTTACAATTCTTGTGTACAATACATTCAACAATATCCACTACAAAGAGATTGGCTAGTAGGTAGATGTTTAAAAGTACGAAAAATTATTAATGCAATTGGTTAAAAAACAACAGCATTATACCGCTGTGCTTATGACAATGTAGACAGGTTTTTATCCTTAAAGCAGCTATCGAAAACGGTACAATACTATTATTCAATATATACATATGACTTACCATTGTATTTTGTTTTCAGTATAGTTGATAAGTTAAAATACCTTGTCTTTGTTCGTTTATTGTCGTTCAAATCCGGTCTTACAC